AAGAGGCACCTTTTAGTGGAGGGGGTGCCCTGGGGGCCATTTACAGCACCATTTACTGGGCTCTGTCCTGGGGGCAGGTGCTCAGAGGAGAGGGTTTGCTGGCAGGGGTCTGACTGAGGAACCCTCCTTCATGGACTGCCACACAGGGTCAGTGGGATGCACAGTTAATTCTTGCAGATAAATAACCCTGTACCTGTCATATACTCACACAAAATGCTCCCCCAAACCCACAGCCCTTTGTGTTCAGGCTGCCAGTTCTTGAGGAGGTCTTCACTGGCCCAGGAAGTGGGAAGGATGGGACTGGGTGCCATCGTAAGGAATCTGTTTCTCCAGAAATGAATCCTTGGCAAGCTTGGGAGAGTGGGAAAACATCTGGGGGTGACTGGGAGTTATTGTGGCACTGGCTGGAGTGGAAGTAGTCCAGCAAATATGATCTGTAGCTGTGGAGCCTTAATCTGGGGTCTTTCCTTTGCTGGGTAAAGCAGAAGGAGGGTGTTACAGGGGCCTGGGTGCTGAATTGATGGTGTTTTATCTCATCTTAAAACAGTACCTGATGTTCTCCAAGTGAGAGTGATGGGTTCTCTCTGCCCTGTGCTATTTCCAGCTGAGATACACAGCCCAGCACTGTCTGTTGGCACTTCTGCAGCAGCATCAGTATCAGATAAAGGCATGATGGGAACAGAAATAAGCTCAGGATGTGAAATACCAGCAGCTGCTGGTTCCTGAAGAGAGGAAATCGATACCTTCCCTGTCAATCCAATCATGCCAGGAGCTGCTAAAGCGAGTCCAAACCTGAGGGCAGTATGTTCTGCCTGCACAGCAGTCCCTGTGCTGGCTCAGGGGGTGCAATTCCTCCATCCCTCCCTGGGGTGAGTGGATCTGGTTTCCCAGCACTACTTGTGAAGAAGGGGCTCAGCCTGGCCTCAACCACTCACTGTCAGCTCCTCTCTGCGTGTCTGTACAGATAGAGGCAGGTAAATGCTTCGCACCCCACAAGCTCAGCAGGGAGATGCCTTACCCCACAAGCTGAGAAAGGGAGATGCTTCAGACCCCACAAGCTCATCAGGGAGATGCTTTGCCCCCAAAAGCTCAGCCACATGTGGCATTTCTTTGGGAGATTCACGTCAAGAACAAGCAGCTCATGGTGAGGCAACAGGGACAATTTCATCTCCTTCCAACAGCCATTTATATTCTCTCCCTGTGGAAAGGTTTAGCTTTGCTGATGCTGGTGGGGAGGATGCAGCTACTGCTTTGTTCTCTCTCTGCATCTCTCCCGAGCATTACCTCAAGCCAGCAGTGATTTGCTTTTCCGTGTGGATGTGATGCTGCCTGTCTGCACAGCTCACTGCTTCTGTTCTTACAGATCCCTGCTGCTTACAGACTAAGTCCACGAGTGGAACAAGCTGGAGTTTGTTTTTCTCTAGGATGAAATATGGCGCTTGACTTATAGAAGTGGTTCTCACATCCTTCAGCCATCTGCTTCTTCTAAAATATGTTGCTGTATTCTGAACTGATAGTGAAAAGTTTTCAAGGCCAGGTTGGACACAGGGGCTTGGAGCAGCCTGCTTTAGTGGAAGGTGTCCCTGCCTGTGGCAGGGGTTGGAACTGGATGAGCTTTAAGTTCTCTTCAACCCAAACCAGGCTGGGATTCCCTAATTCCATATCTGGTTAGCTCATGGGGCTCCCAGCTCTAGTGATACAGTTCAGAGAGCAGAGCAGGAATTTCTGGCCTTTATTTAATGTCTCCATGGTGCTGCAGTGAACAGGGAGCAGGCAGGGTGCCTTGGCACATCCAGCCCCACACCCTGGGGGCTGCTGCTTCCATTCAGCCCTTTCCATCCTCCCTGGATCGGGGCTCGTGGAGCACACTGCACCATGCCCAGAGAGCCAGACACGTGGGATGGTGGTGGCAGCAGGGCCCGGTGCTGGGAGGAGGAGGCAGGGGGTGCAGTGCCCAGCTTGGCACCCGTCCTGCTTTGCTGACTGTTCCTTGTGCCCCTCAGGTGAACTTCAACGAGCCGCTCTCCATGCTGCAGAGGCTGACGGAGGACCTGGAGTACCATGAGCTGCTGGACAAGGCGGCCAAGTGCGAGAGCTCCACGGAGCAGATGTGCTTTGTGGCTGCCTTCTCCGTGTCTTCCTACTCCACAACCGTCCACCGCACCGCGAAGCCCTTCAACCCGCTGCTGGGGGAGACCTACGAGCTGGACCGGCTGGAGGAGCTGGGCTTCCGCTCCCTTTGCGAGCAGGTGAGCCGGGGGCTGTGCAGGGGCTCAGTCCTGCTGCCCATGTCCAGCCAAAGCACCAGCATCTCCTCCCAGTGAGCACCCTCCAGGCTGAGGCAGCCAGCAGATTGCTGTTGGTGTTGACAGAAGCAGTAGCAGGCACAGCCCAAGCCATTTTTCAGCAGCAGAGCGCCCATCCCAGTGTTGTAGAGCAGGAGGTGGGAAAAAGGGAAGGAGAAAGGTGTCTGACCCCCTGGCAGCCTGCCTGGAGCTGGGCTTGTGTCTCGTCTCGACACCTGAGCAGAAAGGGAGAAGCTCCCTTGTAGCTATGCAGTGATGCCTCCACAATTGCTTCAGGGTGGTTTTGGGCTGGAGGGTGTCTCAGGGTCTCATTTCTTTCTTGCTGGACTGAAAAAGTTTAGTTTCAGAGCCTGGGGCCAGCCTGAGAACCTGTGACAGCCCCATGCTGTAACCACAGAGCGCATCTGGCACGCATCTGTCAAACAGGAGGGCTGAATTAAAAGCCTGGTGTGTTTAATGAGTTGTGACCTGTACAGAAAATCAACTGTTTAATATTTAGCACACTTGGCCGGCCTGTCCTGGATTCCTGGGGAGGGATGGGGCCATTGGTTACTACTTTCAGGCAGGACATCATTTGGTGTCAAACCCTTGACATAGTTTAACATGTCTTTGTCCCTTATCATCATCTTCTGGCCCTCCATACCCAGGTTTGGAGCAGTCTCTGTAGCTCTGCCATCAGCTCCTTGCAGAACATGGAAGTGTGGACAAAACCTCTCTGTGGTCATGGGGGCCCAAGCTCAGCAGCCTCTTGCAAAGCTCTGGCCCGAGGCAGGACAGCACCCCCTGCCACCTCCCATCTCTCTTGGCTGTGCTCAGGGCAGTGGTGGTGAACAGGCTGTGTGGGCTCTCCTGGAAATGTGGCCCCTTGCTCATGGCAAAAGGAAAGGTCCTTCAGGAGATCAACTCCAAGACTCATGTCTCTGCTGCCCCTTTGCACCACCCAAAGCTGTGTGCCTGCTGCCAGTCAGCTTTGCTTGTCCCCACAGGTGCCCATGTGGTGTGTGCCAGCATTGGGTGCTCATGCCCTTGGCTGCAGCAAGCCAGGACACATGGCTACAGCCATGGATGAGCCTCCGCTTCCCGCTGTGCTCCCTGCAGGTCAGCAGCGGCCACATCTCTCCGGGCATCCCCTGGCGCTCTGCTGTGGGTTCTGCAGGGTCAGGCTCACCCCCCTCAGCAGCATCACTCCCTCAGCTCCCCTCACCGGCAGCAATGCCCCGTTCTGCTGCACAGCCGAATGTCCCAGCGGGATTGATGCACAGCAGAGGGAATCCAGGGTTACAGTAAGAAGATGAATTCCTTACCCAGATGCTCAATCTGTCCCTTAGCCAGCAGCACCCCTCGTCCTCCCCGGGTACAGGCAGAGCAACAGGCTGGTTTGTTACCCTCACTGGGGCTGTTGTGATGAAACCCAGTGCTGCCTGTCAGGTTCCAGGGGACCACATCACTCCCACACCATCCGTTTTCTCAACCCTTCACCCTCCTTTCCATCACCTTCCTTCCTCTGTTCCTGTTCCCTCCCCCATAACCTGCCCTGAACCACTTTCTCTGGTGGGACCTGGATTTCTTACCTTTTTTCCCCACATTTGGTGTTTCTGACATTCCCACGTTATCTGGGGTGCCCTGAACCCGGGATGCAGCTGGTCCCTGGGTCCTTCCCTTGCCAGCACGAGACACATGAGCGTCATCCACGATTAGGTTTACTGTAACGTGCAGCAAACCCCCGCTCCCTTGCACCACTCTGAAGCCTTCAGTCCATGAGCAGAGCCTTTAAATCTCCCTCCTGGAGCCACCTCAGAGGGAGCATCTTGGGTTTGCCCTGGTGCAGTGTTGCCAGTGCTTTTTGACCTGGTGCTGCATTTGGGACAGGCAGTGGGACAGAGAGACAGACGCTCT